ATATGTATCAGATGCTGTAGGTGTGTGGGTGTGTGTGTGTGCACAATGGAGGCGGAAATCAAGTTAAATGCACAACATAACATTTGAAAAATGCCATCCCAGGTGGAATGCGACAACAAATCTATCTACACCACAAAAAAAGGAGAACAATTTGCATCAACAACAATAAACATTATTTTGGAATGGCGTAGCGGCAAGCATGAAATTAATATGAAGATGAAAATTATTTGTATTTCTGGGGGAATTTTCAGGTATGGATGATAACCGTTATAACTTACAGGAGCTCCAATTTTATCTGTATAACATTGCCAAGGCGATTTTGAAGTCGTCAAATCTTCAAAACAACCATTCTGTAGTTTCAAAGGTGTGGTATAACTAGTTGTAAAACCAATTTTTTCAGTTGAAAGTCTTACATTGACGACAACTCGCGTTTAGAAAATGCATAAAGAATATGCTGTTTTAAATTAGAATAATCATGGTACAATAATTACAAGGTAGGCCACAGCTCACATCTGTTTGAACTTTTTTCATACCAAGGCCTCAAACCGTCAGAGTTGAATTTTTTTTATTGTTGTGTTTTTTATTGTGTTTAGCATTAGTCAAATTGTTAAACACGTTAATTTAAAATCCGACTAACGCAGCAATGTGTAATACAATTTTGAATGAATTGTTAAGGAATAATGTGGAACCAAATACGTCTGGAAAACTTTCGCAAGCGGCTCAGTTGGATAGAATGGTTATTACAATTGCTGAAGATTTGGCTGAAGACGTCCCCACTTCTGATCCCGCTGGAAGCAATTGTTTGAAGAATCCAGTGCACATCGAATTCAAGTAGAAATTACGCAAATCCAGTAGAATGTAATGTAAACGTACTATTAGCGATATTTTTAAAATATTAAAATTAATGTAGCTTGGTTAAATTTTGGCATTTTTGTGGGAATTTGAGATATTTATAACTTGAATTTTAATATTTTTTTATATGGTCGGAACCATAAGGGGACCTTCCACTCTAAATTTCAGCATACATTATGTCAGAGACTTGTTACTTTGCGTACATGTATTTAAACTAATTGACAAAATGTTCTTGTTTTTTGTAATTAAAGAATCACTGGAATCTCAAAAATTCAACTCAATCAGAAGTCCATATCTGGCTCCTGTATGAACTAGGATTATTAACTATTATTTTTATTAACATCGATCGAAAATGAGAAAAATGACGGACCTAGGAAAATCGCCTATTTTCTCCCTAAAACCAAGTTGAAAATGGAGAATATCTTCATTGATTGAATTTCTCCTACTTCATCCGATAGATACGCAGGTCAAGAATAACGTGTTATAATTTGGATTTTGCGGAGAATTATATTTTTCTTACGACCTTCTATTTGATGAGAATATCGACCCTACAACGCACAAAAAACTCTTGAACGTTTTAAACGAAGTATCAAATTGGGCTGAAAGATGTCTCGAAAATATAAAAAATACCAAAAATCAAGTATATAGTTCAGTAGATGCGTTGTCTAGTCGTGTAACGTTAAAGCGCATCTTCAAAAAAAAAAAAAAAAAAAACATAAATCGCGGTTTCCTCGGAAGTTAATACGATTACAACAGATACACAGAATATAGAATACATGTAGTTTGTAAGATCTAAAGAGAATGTTTACTAATCATACTATATTGGGGTATGGGCACATCTCCAAAAAAAAAACTTTATATAGGGGCTACCTCAAACAGTGGGCAAATAATGATAATTTTTTGTTGGAGTGATTCGCTTAGATAAAGATAACCCGAAATAACAAATAGCAGAGGATTTGGCTTCGTGTCAAATATCCCTACTTCACACCTTTAATATCGTACTTTGTAACGTGCTATCGATGCACAACATTGCACCATCTATCGGTGAAAATGCTACATATTACGATCATTATTTTTCCATTTGAGACATCTGGTAGGAATAAATAAAATTATAACTATTTAACCCTGCCATCTGTAAGTCAATAGCATAATTAGTCATTCTTATTTGACGTTCGAAACTCTGCCATAAGTCAAGTCAAATAAAGAAGTACGTTTTTTTAATGTATATACAATTCTTAAAATCACCTACACATTTTAAAAGCAGCAAAGAGAAGCAGCAAATAAAATTTATATACAATATTAGAATTGGGTATTTAATTTAATTATCCTCAAATGCTAATCACTAGGTAATTTTATTTGTGGCAAACTAAAGTGCAATTTAAAATTAGGGTACATTCATTTCATTTTTATAAAGGGAACATTATTTCCAATTGGAATTGACACTGTCAATTTGCCATTGACACACGGTCAACATATAGGTGTTTTAGTTCAATTCATAAAATGCAGATGTCGCCAACTACACATCTGTACAATTTTGTCACAAAAGCGCATGTCTAATTCAAATGTCAAAATTGATTTAATAACGTAAACAAAAACAAAACATGACGGAAGGAAGACAACAAACATGCACATTTTTATGAATGTTTTGTACAACAAATTAAACGAACTCAGTTTCCTATGAGACTTTGTAACGAACGCACTACAAGGAACGGCGGTACGGACGGTGTTTGCGTAAATTGCTTCTTGTGGAAATTATTTGTTTATGAATGATACGACATCAATGAAAATGGAAATCTGCAACTGGGTGTAGTTCAAAACAAAAAATCCAAAAAAGAAAAAATAAAAGAATGTTTTCTGAAAACTAAAAGTTTGATACCGGAAATGTTTGTAATTGAGTGTTATATATGATCCGCCTTTTCTTCATAACATTTAGTCTAACAGATGTAGAGAGGGAAAGAGAGCGAAAAATGTAATGATGCAAAATGCAACAATTTTAAAAATTCATAAGTAAAAAAATTAATAAGTAATGATAAAAATGAGAACTTTTTTTCGAGATATTTTTATTTTTTTCAAGGATTAGATATCCTAAGGACTGATACTTAAATGTGGAATCAGTCATATTAGTTTTCATAATGCATGTTAATGAATGAATTTATTTTCTTAAAATTTGTAATCCTAAATGATGGACATACAATCTTATTGGTCTGTTCCAGTAACTGTAAGAATATACAAGTTTTCAATTATGACATCGAAAAACTACTAAAAATGAGTAGATTCTTTTAGTTCGGGAACAGGCCATATATTGAATTTTGGATATCTCCTTAAAACTACCAAATAACAACATAACATTATTGGAACAAAAGAACAGTACAATATTGGACGCAATATTCAAATTTTAAATGCCTCAAATTATTATCTATTGGATATATGTAAGAAGTTTAATTTTCTTTTCCTACAAATTCTTCCTAATTTCTTTACGAAATAAGTAAAAAACTATATTAAGTAGATATACTACTGCGTTTTCCTATTAAATATTTAATATAAATTTCTAAAAATCTTAATTTTTTTAAATTTTCTATTCCCAAATACTTCTTACTTGGCGACAACTTAATTCCCCCCAAAAACTTATGTGGCATCACTGTTAATCTGTTGACAAATGCCACGTTATCATTCATTGGTGCTTTGTAATTCTTATTGGATTAAGAAGAAGCACATAGCTGTCATATGAATTATATTCTCACTCACTCTCCATACACACTCTCTCTCACTCATTATGTTTCTCTGTTTTATTCGTTTAATATTCGGTCGTTTGCATGTAAAAATTCTATGTGTTGTGCGTGAGAAAAATATTCAATTTTCATTAGGAAAATAATTAAAGAAAATCATAGCGGATACAAATAAAAGCGCGGTCCATCGATGTCAACTGAATGCAGTTTTCAAATGTACGGAAATAATCGGGAAAAGTGCAGTGAAATGAAACGGTAATAGAATTTGGCTAACGCCCCCCAAAAAGTGTATGGACTGTGCCGCCCCGCGCTTCCGAAACAAATGGACGGACACGAACGAATGCATGGAAAGGGAGTAGTGTTACGCTTTACACAGTAGTAATTTAAAGAAGAATCAACACCAACAACAACAACATCTTCGCCAAGCAAAAACTAAAGGAAAGAAACGCATAAAACCTAGAATCACAAACGGACGGGGCAAGAAGTGTACGGGTACGTGTGTCTTTCAGTGTTGTTACTGGTGGCCACCAACTGGGTGCAGTGTTATGTTTTCCTCGGAAGGGAAACAATTGCAATAAAAAACAAAAACAAATTAGCTAAAATAAAGCAGAAATGTGCAGTGCTTGGAATAGATACAAACGAAAACAATGTGTGTGTAGTTTACAATTCGCCTCCTTCGGTTGTGGCTGGGAGTATTTAGATTTTGCGGATGCCATCTGTAAATCACATCGGGCAGCGAGATGCAAACGTTATCGAGTGGCAATTTCATTGAAATCGTGAAGCTACAACAAACAAAAACAAATGAATGACCCGACAAAGGGCACCATCAATAAAGTGAAAATAGTTGTCAAGAAACCCCCTCAAATCCTTGTAGAAAGTGAGTGAGAAACACATTTGCTCCCACCTCAACAAAACAAAGAACACCCCTTCTTCCCAAACTCCGTGAACCGCGAACGCTTAACAATTCTAGATAAATTCTTGCACACCTCTCGCTTTCCCCCACAAATCTCCAAGTCAGTGAATTTGTCCTAAACACAATTCGCCCAGTAGATTAGATCGAAAATGCAAGCCAAGAAACGATATATTCTGGTTTTTGTGTCGTGCGCGTTCCTCGCATATTGCTATTTCGGTGGTTACCGGCTGAAAACCACAACGCATCGTCGCCGCAATTCCGGGCTGCCGTCATCGTCATCGGCGATCGCGGATAGTGACAGTGAAATCTTAGATCAATTGCCAAGCTTTGTGACTAGTGAAATGGGTCGAGACTATTTGCACTCCATCAAACCAGATGTAGCAGAGATGGTGCACAAGTCTCGAAGCTCTATGCCGGGTGCCTCGAATGGCGGAGTGCCGGCAGGGCAAGTGGCTGTAGATCAACAGTTGGCCAACGCCAATAATCAAGGCAGCTCTGTAACGTCTTCCAACACAATGCGAACATGTCGCATGGAAACCTGTTTCGACTTCAGTAAATGCTATAATGAATTTCTCATCTATGTCTATCCACCCGAACCATTGAACTCTCTGGGTGCAGCACCACCGATATCACCCAATTATCAGAAAATCATAACCGCCATACAAGAGTCGCGCTACTATACACCAGATCCTGAAAAGGCATGTCTGTTCGTTTTGGGTATTGATACCCTGGATCGCGATTCGTTATCCGAGGATTACGTGCGCAATGTGCCATCCCGTTTGGCTCGTCTACCTCACTGGAACAATGGTCGCAATCATGTCATCTTTAATTTATATTCGGGCACATGGCCCGACTATGTGGAGCATTCGCTGGGCTTCGATACGGGCGAAGCGATATTGGCCAAGGCCAGTATGAGTATACAGCATGTTCGGCATGGCTTCGATATAAGCATTCCATTGTTTCACAAACAATTTCCGTTACGTGCCGGCTCAACGGGTCTGGCCTCATCGATGCACTTTCCATCGAATAAGAAATACCTGTTGGCGTTCAAAGGAAAACGGTAAGTAGGCAAAGTAAAGGCAATGTATTGCAAATGATGTGATATTCTAGTTGATTTCTAGGAATGTAACACCAGTTCGATTTTATTTTTTTAGATTTTATTTTTTAGGAGAATTTTGCAAATTTCAACTTGAATTAATTTTGTAGAATTTTAATTATTTTTTTTGTGATATGAATTACAAAAATGTATTGTAATTAATAACATGTTGGGAATGGAATATATAATTTCAATTAACATTATTATCTCATAGAGAATTGTGATTAAAACATATTCATATTATTGTTAATTTTTTTTTTCAATATTTAATATTGGACAAAGGTATCAACAATTTTTGAAATTTGTTTTAAATTGATAGCTGTCTTTTTATCCTGTCCACACACAATGCTTATACCCTCCATCATATGCTGACGTTTTGCTAATCCATCGTTACTATGTTTGGTAGTGAAACTGGCATATATCGGAACACATTTTGTACCGTCCCATTTTCGGTGTATTTTGAGACCCGCCCCATTTTAGTTATTTTAAGGGTCTTAAACCTATTATCCAATAGAAGTGACAAACCTAAACCTATTATCCAAACCTAAACCTATTATCCAATAGAAGTGACATAAATTTGCCATTCTGAGATTTTGTTAGGTAAAAAGTTTCTTCGCAAAACATTTTCAATATAGTTCCGTGTTTTGGTATAACCTCCATATTTTCCTTATTTTGAAGTTTTTTAGGCTCATTTACAAAATGAATTTTTTTAGGCTCAATCGAGAGTTTGGGCACACAATTCTAGGTAGAACCTTACCGATCCTCTTTATATTGAGATCATACAAATGCTTTTCAAATTATAGGCAAAATATCTTCCAATAGAATAGGTGCTCCATCAAAAAAGTCTAATTTTAGAAAAAATCGGTATTATGCGGTCGACTTAAACGAACCCCACAAGTAAGAACACTTCACTACTCCTAGGATCTTTTGTTTTGAAAATGGTCCACAACGGACCACTTTTTGATACAGTCCCAATATATCGTTAACCCAAAATATTCGGTATTTTGGGAACTTTTTGCTACATTTTGCTTGGCTGTAATCTAGAATTTTGTGTTTCTTTTGGGAACTAATCTCCCTACCAAATGCTCGATATCTTTCCACTTTTCATGATATCTCTCCATTATTCGATATTTTGGGGAGTTTGGAAACTTGTTATGCTTTGCATTCTCATTGGATATCAAATCCACCTAGCAGAATTTATCGATATCGGCGCATTTTGAGGACCGATGTCCTATTATTCGGTATTTTGAGAAGTTTTTTAAACCCAATTCTGTACTTTAATGATTTGGGCACGTTTTTAAGCGAAATGGGTCGAAATAGGTTGTCAAAATGTCCTACCAACAATTTACCTGGCATAGCGCGCCATTTAAGAAGGTCTCGAAAGATTAATGGTATTTCAAATGTCCATATCATGGTGGAGTGCATAAAAAGCAGAACTTTTTTACTTGTTTAAATATTACTAAGTTTTTCCTCATGGCATAGTTACAGAAAGTCAATGGCAAATTTATGAAAAAATTGAAAACATATGACTGTATGAGACTACCTTGTATAACACTGTGCGACACGAAAATTTTTCAATGGTTCTAATGTACCAAATATGTTTAGTTGGAGTCCCTGGACCTCGAAAATACCTTTGGTTTTTCTGGGTCACTTCGAAAATTTATTTTATAACGGTAAATATAGAGAAAAACGTGGTTTCATGGATTTTCAATTTAAAACTCGAATAACTTATTTACTTTTTAACAGATTTATATTATTCTTTTTTTTCTTTCGGAGAGTACAATTTTTCCTTTCAAACAAGATATATACTTGGTAAATCGAGAATATGAGAGAATTAGAGAATATGCATAGAATCAATACAAAAATGTGTATAAGTCATCCATTTTTTAACCGATTTTCTGATTTTTATCATCTTTGAAAGCTAATTTAATTTTCTTTCCCGTAATACAATAAAACTTATATGGCTTGATGCCATAATTTCATCGTACAGCCCGAAGAAAAGTAAATTTTGTCATTTTATACGTATTTTTTCACATTTCAACCGCTGTAACTCAGCCAATCCTCAACCGATTTACCAAGTATATATCTTGTTTGAAAGGAAAAATTGTACTCTTCGAAAGAAAAAAAGAGAATAATATAAATCTGTTAAAAAGTAAGTAAGTTATACGAGTTTTAAATTGAAAATCCATGAAACCACGTTTTTCTCTATATTTACCGTTATAAAATAAATTTTCGAAGTGACCCAGAAAAACCAAAGGTATTTTCGTGGTTCAGAGACTCCAAATATACAGAATTGGTACATTAGAACCCCTGAAAAATTTTTTTTGTTATTTTGTAGCACAGTGTAATTATCCCATGGTTTTTCCCATATTTACAGTCGAACTTCAACAAGTCCAATCAAAAATTATCCCGAAAAAAACAACAAGAATTAATTATAATTTGCCTCCTAAGCGCTACTGTCACTACATTTGTTTCGATATAAAGAAAATTAACAAATTAAATAACCAGAATATTATTCTCTTTCTTCTGTCATCATTAGCCTTTTCGGATGACCTAGGCCTTGAACAAAAAGTAGTTATATTTTGCATAACAATCCTTTTGTTAGGATAACATCGACGTCTGAGAAAGTATTTACCGTGAATGCACAAAACAATATCCGCCTCCAAAAGATTCAATAGGTGCCATATAGCCAATGAAACTTTTTTCCGTGTCCATATTAATTGACCGATTTGTAATCGTTGGCTTCCTCCTTAGGAATATTAAAAAATAAACCATAATAATTATATTGGATTACCGAACTGGAAATAATCCAATAACATTTGTACAATTTTAAATATCCTAAAAAACAATAAATATTTTCTATTGAGTGATCTAATAACATTCTTTAGAATTAGTTCACAAGTAAATGATTACTGTGCCTTATAAATACATTCTTTTATAAATTTCTATTCAAATATTATCCAACACACACAGAAATTAGTTTCCAATTAATATAGCAATTTGTGGCCTTAGTGGTTTTCTATGTGAAATACACAGCAAAATAAACTTCCATGGTTTTTGCTTTCGAATTGCTTTACATAAAAAAAAACTAAAATGAATGTGTGGAACATTCATTACTGAAGGCTTTGACATACAAATGCCGTATACGAAATGAGTTCAAAGGTTAAATTTGTAGTTTTTGTTTTTTGGGAAAGTTTTCGCCAATTTGTACTTGAAATTTAAATGCTTTGCTTAGAATTTGAATGGATTTTTTTGCGCAGACATAAACTTTAATAAGTTATAATTTCTATTATTAGAACGACAGAACCCCCCGAGGTAAATGAAGACGACAATTTTTCATAATAAGCGGATATTAATTTGTCAATATACTTGGTAGAGTGAAAAAAATGGTTGAAAATATTTGAGTACAAAATAAAGGAATTTAATTTTTATTTTTTTTTCATTTAATATATTTCTCATGTTGGTGGTCAAGCTAAAATAGCCGTTTACTGTGGATACAGGAAAGCTGGTTGTTCAAATACTGTTTAAAATAAAACGTCAAGTTTTTTAAATGCTGAACAATTGTCTAAGAAGACCAAAATAATGTGCAAATTTCAGTAGACTATCGCAAGCTGAGAACATAATACTCATACTTTGAATATACAAATATAAAAATTAATAATAAAAATATATTTTACCAAACGGAGTCTTTAATTTAAGCAATAATGTATGTAAATAAAAAAAACATTATACATTTATGTTTGCCTATAAAAATTCTGCGACACTTAAAGTAAAACTTAAATTGATATTCACTATCAAGAATCCATTCGTAATAATAATTTTCTATTTAGAGCTACACACTCACACACAACGACAGTTTGTGTCGGCCTATAATTTTTTGTGTAGATAATAGAAACGTATCGTCAATCATAACCATGAAAGCTATTAAAATACAATGAAGACAATAGCATTTTAATAGAATATACACAAATAATAAATTAAGATTGTAAATAGTAATTTTTTGTTAATAACTACAAGAATTTTAGAAATTGTACGCACAAAACTTATGAAAAAATAAAATAAGAAATATTAAAAAAAGGGTTTATGTAAAATTATGTACTCAAAATTTAACTGTTTTCTATATACGGAGGAAATAATACTTTATATGTATTTATTCATTACAAAAATAACAAATAATCTATTTTCATAGTTAGATATTATTTATTATTTCTTTGCTGAATTGTAGAGTAAATGAATGGGTGCGGACACATTTTAAAATTTACAGTGGATAGAGACTGTATAGAAGAGTTTATATGACAGGAAAATTATTATGGTTCTTGTTACAAGACGAGTTAGAAATATTGGATTGTTAATTATAATTGTAGTCGTTATTCTTAAAAGTCAATCTCCTATGAAAGGGTATAGAGTTAAATATTGTAGTCGCCAGATGGGGTCTCCGATCTTTTTCAACATCGAAATTTGATTTTATTATTATCATTAAGTGGAAGATTCATTAAATTTTCCATTCCATTTCTAAAACCTCTTTTTTGATAGCTCTGGTCCTTTGGGCCAGATTCTCTTATACGATAATAAATTTAATTGAATTGAAATATTCACTGGAGTTTCGATAAGGTATATACATATATTCCTGATCGGAATAATTTAGCCATGTGGAATAATGATAGAACTTTGTAATTTTGAACATAAATATTTACTACTCTTAGGACTTTGATATATTGGATCAGATTTTGGTATAGCCCTTTATAGCCCTATACAGGACCCGCCTCATTTTAGGGAACGTAGGCATTTTCAGACCAAAGTAATTGCAAATTGGCATACAGGTTTTTTTACTGTATAGATAACTTATTCACCGATCATTTTCGGTGAAGGTTTTTTTTTGGTTTTGGTTCTTTATAGAAAATGTTCAATAATGTCCAAATTTTCAATATTAGTCCAAAGTATACCTATCATAGGACCGCCCATTT